AAGAATCAATGCTTAACAAATTCTTATTTTTATTTAACATAATTTATTGATGCCAGCTTTTTTGTGTCTGTCCTCTTATTGACAATAAAGTGCATCATAATATTGTTACTAACAGTAGCTGAGGATCCACTTGGCAGTGCTTGTGGATCCACAATCTTCTTTGATAATAGTGTGATGAAATTTATCATCAGTGAGAGGTTATAAAAAACAATAAATTTATGACAATTCAATTATTTCATTTTAGGGCATTTTAGATACAGAAAGCAATAATAATCAAGCAAAGACTTCCAATAATGGAAAATGCCACATGTAGGCAAATTGCAAGGAAACCACAATTTCCTTTCCCCAAAACGATTCCAAAAATCACAATGTCATAATTCAAACTACTTGAATGACACTTGAAGTGGAATTTCTAGAACTTTAACCTAATTTATTCTATTCAAAAATTTCTGAAGGCCTGCTGAATTATTACCAAGTTTGGTCCACTTGCATGAGAACAGCACTTTGAACACAGCAAAATACAGAGTTCATTCATCAAATTCCAAATTAAAGTTTAACTACACATAACATGTGCTTTCCTCCTAATAGTAGAACCTGATATGGACTTAAGGTTACTCCAAACCTTTACAGGGCTACTTTTGACAAATTTTCTTTTTCTCAACCAAATTAACGTTCATGATCTAAGGTAATATTTTCCAAAAACTGAAAAGAAAACATTAAAACATGGGCGATAAATATTGGGAAAAAGAGATTTTTAAATAAAAGTTAGTAAACTGTCAAGGTGTCATAATCCCCAAAAGGCATGGACTCCTCGGTGACCTTTTAACGGCAAATGGTTTAATCCAGGGATCCTAAATCAATCAGATACTTTCAATTTTAGATTTCATGTCTGTTCAGAGTGCCTCCTTGTAGTCACCCTTCGGCAATTGCTCCTCAGTTTCTTTTTGTTTTGTTGCACGTCATTTTGTTACTGTTTTGCCTATTATTGTTGAGCACTGGCTAAAAATGTGTGTGCCTAAAACGTGACTGTAACACCATTGCTTTCCCGCGAAGCTCCAGTTTTCATACTGTGAACACTAGAGGTTCTGTTATTTCATTGGCTGGTGGCTTTTTGAGTTGACATTTCCCCCTGAAAAGGTCTGCCATGTTTATAAATCTTTCGAAGGC